CAATCTTGATAATCCGCAACCATTCTGCTATTGCTAATGTCAAACTTGTTTTTCTCGCGGCTTCTTCTACTCTTCTTTCAGTTGTCTGGCACAGCGGTTCAGAACACTTCATCTCCTATCAAGGTTGGTCTTCTGTTCCATTCCTCTGGTGTGTTGCTGATTAGATCCTTAATTTCTCAGAATCCCATCGTTGAACCCCTTTCCCACCACCACACACCCTTTTTTTTTCACCTCCACAATCTGCTTCATTATTTCTTTGAATTGGCTCTGTTGTAAATTTCCTGTGAGGTCATGCTGGGGACACAGTTTTCTCCAGCGATTTATGTTTTGGGCTTTGACGGCTTTTTTTCCCATAAAGGACGATGGCTTCTTTCAACGATGTATCCTTTCCAGATTTCATGATGTTTTTCGGAGGTTCTTCTTCCATAGCATTTGACAATCTGGTTTCATAGTGTACCATGTGTAATTGTGCCTTTACGTCCTTATGGCTTACCTGATTAGAATGCTGGTTAGAGACATTGTGTTTTGGACACAGTGAGCAATTCAGGCCTTTGGTGTTGAACTATTAGGGTCTGGGATGGCCAGGGGGCAATCATTCATATTCAAAAGACTTTAAAAGGCAGGTCCTTAACTGGGCAAGGTACTTTCCGTTGACTTCAGGGGACGCAACGGATCTATGGAATCAAGTCAGAAAACAGGCCGGTTCTTGTTGTCAGCGCTTCTAGGTTATCACCCGGAAGACTGCGCACGCTGGTGTTTATTGTTTTGCTCCTTTCAGAGCTGCAAGGGGGTTTAGCTGTTTTATAGATAAGAGCAGTTTTATCATAAACCAAACCTGCATTTGCACCAAACAGTAGGTTAGGCCATTGGTTCTTTCCTGCTTAAATCTTGAGTGCTTGCTCTCTCCTTTACTAACAAATGTCCTTCTGGCATTCTTTTCCAGAATAGGGGCATTTATCTGTACTAAAAACTTGTGCAGGCGATATCTTTTGCTGCTCAGATGATTGTTCTTAATGACGATTAGGTAAACTTGTGACTTGCCCTGCCTTTTGATCAGCAGGACGCTGGCTTCTCCGGTTATCTTGGACTTTTTTTTTTTTTTCTTTTTGGAGTTGGAGTTCTTGCTCTGTCGCCCAAGTGAGTTGCAGTGGCGTAATTGTCAGCTCACTGCAACCTCACCTCCTGGGTCCAGCAATTGTCTCCCCTGTCTTCGTCTCCTGAGCTGCTGGTTACCCAGGCATAACACCAGGGGGCGCCAGGCTATTTTTTGTTATTTTGTTAGTAGCAGATGGGGTTTCACTAATGTGGCCAGGCTGGTTCTCAGAACTCCTGAAGCCCCTCAGGTTGATCCGCCTGGGTGCTCAGGCCTCCAAATGGCTTTTGGGATTACGGCATGGAGCCCACCAATGCCTGGCCCGGTTATCTTGACATTTCTTTTTTTTTTTTTTTTGGATGGAGTTCACTCTGTCCCCAGGCTGGGAGTGTCAAGTGACGATGATTCGGCTTCACTGCAGCTCCACTCGCCGGAGTTTCAATTTCAGCCTTCCTGGACTAACTGCGGATTACCAGGGCGTGGGCAACCCATCAACGCCTAGCCTAATTTTGTTATTTTTAGTAAAGGGACGGGTTTCGCCATGTTGGCCAGGGTGGTTTTCATAACTCACTGAACCTCAGTGGATCCACCTTGCCGCTCACGCCTCAATGCTGGGATTACAGGTATTGAGGCAGCTGCGCCTGGGCCAAAAGGCTGCATTTTCATACAACATAAAAGGTATTTGCAAAGTTCAAGGTTCATACCTACTGGGCACAGCTGCGCACACGTTCATCTTTCCTTTTTCTTTTATAATTAGTCCTTTAGCACGGATTATTTTCTTGAAATGGCTGGGACCAAGGTCTGGGGCACGGTTGGCTCACGTCTGTAATAATCCCAGCAACCTTTTGGGAGGCTGAAGGCAGGGCAGATCAGTGATGGTCAGCGAGATCGGAAGACCCGAATCCCTGGGTAACACGGTGAACCTGTCTCTACTAAAACACAAAAATAAGCCGGCGTGTGGTGGGCCCCCTGTAGTCCACCAGCTACTCAGGAGGCTGAGGCAGGAGAATGGCATGAACTCGGGAGGCGAAGCTTGCAGTGAGCCGAGATTATGCCACTGCACTCCAGCCTGGGTGACAGAGCGAGACTCTACCTCAAAAAAGAAAAAGAAAAAGAAATGGTGGGCAACCACAGCTGCAAATCTCAATCTATGTTACATATCAAGCAATTCACCTTTTTTCTTGTAATGTCATGATTTTTATCTGCTTCTTAGGAGTACATCACTAGTGGCTCTTCATCCTGTGGCATTATTCAAGGTTTGTCCCACCATAGGTCCCATGGTGATATTCAAGGTTTATGGTATTGCACTGAACACAATGAAAAACACATGAAAATTGCAAGAGATCACTTTTTATTGTGATATGCAATTTACTGGAGAGACAAACTACTCATGCAGAGATGATTAGTGTCCCACGTAGTTCTAAGCAGATGCCCACAACACTTGGGCTCACAACAATAGCAACAGGAGGTGGCTACAAAATTGTTACAGTAGTACAGTATATACTACAGTTAATTTTATGCAGTTATGACTTAACATTGCATCTCTACTGTTGTTTATATTTCTCTCTTGGACTGCACATGTTGCTATGTATGGTATATGTTTGTGTGTACATGTGAGATGCCCCATACTTTTAAACAACCAGATCTTGAGAGAACTCACTCACAATTGTGAGAACAGTACCAAGGGGATGGTACTAAACCATTTATGAGAAATTCAACTCCATAATCTAGTCCCCTGCCATAAGGCCCCATCTCCAACCTTGGGGATAACAATTGAACATGAGATTTGGTTGGGGACACAAATACAATCCATATCACAAGGATCAGAAGCAAATCATAAGAGCAGCCAAAATTCAGAGAAGGTTGAATTCTCAGTTTCGGTGAGTCTCCTACACCAAAATCAGGGTCCCAGTAAAGAGTGGGACCCTAAGACTCGGATGAGAGATTACTGAGTAGATGCATTTGGGAACCTTGAACTCCAAGATCCTCCAGAAACTTCTGGACATGCAGAAGTGCTGCAATCCTCATTTTAGAGGACAGCAGTCCCCCCACCTCTGGATTGAAGATCATGAAAGGAACTCAAATGAGGCACTGTCTGGGACAATGCCTGCCCTTCTCAGGATCTGCCCCCTTCCCTTCCCACCAATTAGAACAATAACTATGGTCAAATTTCAACATGGGATAACTGGAGAAGTGCTTGACCTGCTGAGGGAGGAGAGGAATTATACACAAAAAGAGAATCATTACATACACAAAAGGAGCTACAGAACTTAGCTGACATTTACCAGCAAACCTGGAAGAGTATATCTGAGGATGCTGGATCTACAGGACAGATTACAAAACTGAATAGAGAAAAGTGTGTTAATATGGAGGTACTCTCCTGTGACACAGGATTCAGCACACTGGCAAGGGCCCCAGAGGTCAGTTTTGAAATGGTTTTAGGAAGGCAGAAAAAAGCAGTGGTCCACACTAAATGAAGTAGTAATACTAGAACTTAGTGGTAGACTATAGAGGAATAGATCAAAAGGCTTAGAGAACTGAACATGTTAGGATGGATTTATTACATGAGACAAGAAGACCGACCAGTTGACTATGTTCATTGGAGGGGCCCAGAGTATAGTTCACTTACCAAAACAATAAGGAAGGTGATAGTGAGGGGACACAAGCATTACTGAAAAGCTTCAGCCAGGCGCAGTGGCTCACACCTGTAATCCCAGCACTTTGGAAGGCCAAGTGGGGAAGATCATTTGAAGTCAGGAGTTCGAGACCAGCCTGGCCAACAATGGTGAAACCCCGTCTCTACAACAAATACAAAAATTAGCCAGGCATGGTGGCACACGCCTATAGTCCCAGCTACTTGGGAGGCTGAGGCAGGAGAATCACTTGAACCTGGGAGGCAGAGGTTGCAGGGAGCCGAGATTGCACCACTGCACTCCAGCCTGGGCAACAGTGAGACGCCGTCATAAATAAATAAATAAATAAATAAATAAATAAATAAAAGCTTCATAGTCAGTTGGGCATGGTAACTCATGCTTGTAATCCCAGCACTTTGAGAGGCCAAGGTGAGTGGATTCTTTGAGCCCAGGAGTTCAAGACCAGCCTGGGAAACATAGGGAGATCCCATCTCTACAAAAAGAAGAAGAAGAAAAAAAGAAAAGCTCCATAGCAGTAGCTGTCCTCTGTAAAACCGGGCTGATGATAGGAGATGCTCATACAGAACTGGGCTCCCTAGTGCTAATAGAGGTGATAGGATTCTGAAATAGGGGAGACTAGGTGACGACACTTAACCGTCAAAAGTGAATTGGTTCTAAGTATAGGCAGCAAGGTTGAAATGACACCAAGGGATGCCTCCTGACTCACAAGGATTTAATGAGATGGCCCATAGAACATTGTGTTCCTAGGGGCAATTCAGATAAATAGCCAGCAAGGGTATTACTATATATAAATATATAGATAAGCAGAAGTCTGAAGTCAGTTGCCTCAATGGAAAGGCACAGCTTCTTTTCTAACTTCCAGACCTAAGCCAGTTCTCAGACCCCAAGCCCATAAAATGAAGAAAAGGTCAGGTTCCCATGAGAAAGGGCCCTACAACAACATGGTAAGTATATTTAGTAGTATTCTCCAAGCCTTCTCCAAAAGTGTCTATGACCATTTACTCAGATAGCTGGGGAAAGGGGAATACAGAGACTCTTTCAAGTCTGCTGGACCCAGGAAATAAGTAGACACTGATACCCAGGGGCCAAAGTGTTACTGTGGCCTACTTGTTAGAGAGAAGCTTATGGGGGTCAGGAAATAATTGGGATATTGGCCCAGGTTTGTCTCACAATGAGTTCAATAGTCATCTCCATGACTCCCAAATGAATCATCGGATTGAATACACTAGCAGTTCGCAGAATCCTTACCTCAGTTCTTTGCTCTATGGAGTGAGAGCTATTATAATAGGAAAAGGCCTATGAAAGCCCCTTAAAGTCACCACCATCCCCGAAGAAAAACCTTTCAATGGCCAAAACAGTAAATAAAAACCAGTATTGCATCTGGGGGAAAGGAGAAATAGCAAAGATTAGTGTCACCCTCAAAATATTAAATAATGCAGGAGGCATGGTCCTCGTCATATCTTTCTTTAATTAATCAGTCAGGGGGCTGGGCATGGTGGCTCACACCTGTAATCCAAGCATTTTGGGAGCCCAAGGTGGGCCGATCACTTGAGGCCAGGAGTTCGAGACCAGTCTGGCCAACAGGGTGAAATCCTGCCTCTACTAAAAATACAAAAATTAGCCGGGCTTGGTGGTACACGCCTGTAGTTCCAGCTACTCAGGAGGCTGAGGCAGGAGAATCACTTGAACTTGAGAGGTGGAGGTTGCAGCAAGCCAAGGTCACACCACTGCACTCCAGCCTGGGCAACAGAACAAGACTCTGTCTCCAAAAAAAAAAAAAAAAAATTAATCAGTCTACCACCTGCCCAGTAAACATAATAGTCCCAGTTGTATCTACTGAACTTGATGTAGTATCTTTACTAAAGCAAATTAACACACCTCTGGTAGACGGTATATGGCTACTGATTTGGACCAATACATTTCTTTCATACGTGTCAGGAAGGAAAATCAGAAACTGGTTCTATTCACATGGAACAGACAGCAGCATATATTCCCAGTCTTACCCCAAGGCTAAGTTATTTCTCTGCTCTCTCTTATAACTTAACGGGACCTGAACCAACTAAATACTTTATAGAACATCATATTGGTCCACTCTATTGATGGAATCATGTTAACTGGAACTGATGAGCAAGCAGCAGAAGTACCCTGGGTGTCATAATAAGATGTACATTCTAGAAAGTAAAAAAACCCTGCAAAAAGATTCAGGGATGAGCTACATGAGTGAAGTTTTTAGGGATCCAGTGGTCTAGGGTCTGGGGAATGCTGGGACATCCACTCCAAAGTGATAGACAAATTATTGCACCTTTAACCTCCCACCTTTAAGAAAGAGTCCAAAGGTGGGACTCTGGGTCTGGAAGCAATATAGTCTACACTTAGAAATACCATAATAACCCATTTATTGAATGACATAGAAGGCTACTAGTTGTGAATGGATCCCAGGACAAGAAAGGCCTCTGTAGCAAGTCCAAGCTGCAGTAAATGCAATTGCACCACTTGGGTAATATGCTCCAAAAGATTCCTTGACATGAGATGTATCTGTGGTAGAAGAAAAATGTGGACTCCCTAAGAAGCCCAAATAGGAACCGTGCAGTACAGACCCTTAGGGTTCTGGAGCAAGGCCACGCCATCTAGAAGCAGAAAGCTATATACCATTTGAAAGGAGCTCCTGGTATGCTCCTGGGCCCTAGTAGAGACTGAGCACTTGCTCTTCAGATTTTTCTTTTTTTTTTTTTTTAGAACCGGAGTCTCACTCTGTCACCCAGGCTGAAGTGCAATGGTGCGATCTCGGCTCACTGCAACCTCTGCCTCCCGGGTTCCAGTGATTCTCCTGCTTCAGCCTCCCCAGTAGCTGGGATTACAGGCATGGGCCACCACACCCGGCTAATTTTTGTATTTTTAGTAGAGACAGGGTTTTGCCATGTTGGCCAGGCTGTTCTCAAACTCTTGACGTCAGATGATCCACCCACCTCAGCCTCCCAAAGTGCTGTGGTTGCAGGTGTGAGCCACCACACCTGGCCCAGATTTTTTTTTTTTTTTTTTTGAGTACTTGCCCTTTGGATATCAAGTATCCGTGTTCCCAGTATTGCTCATCATGAGCTTGGGTCTGTCAGACCCACCCCGTCATAAGGTTGGGCAGGCCCCAGCAGCAATTTATTGTAAGATAAAGTGGTACATCCAGCAGGATTGGGTGCTAGCAGGCCAAAAGACCCAAGCAAGCTATAGAAACAGGTGGTCCAGACACCAATGTCACCCACAACTGATGCACTGGTGCTTCTTCCTTAACTAACACCAATGGGCACACGGAAGGGGAAGTATTCCTTATGATCAGCTGGCATAAAAGGAAAAATCTCAAATTTAGCTCATGGATAGATCGGCTCAGTATTTGTGTACCAGCTGAAAATATGTAGCTACTGCCCTACAACCCCACTCAAAGGTGTCTCTGAAAGACAGTGAGCAGAGCTTTGGGTGGTACACTTGGTCACCCACTTTGTGTGGGGAAGTGGCCCAAACTTATTATACTGATTCATGGGAAACAGTGAATGGTTTGGCTAGTTGGTCAGGGGATTGGAAGGGAAAGATGGAAAGATTGGGATCAAGGAGGTCTGGGGAAAAGGCATATGAGTGGGACTATGGGAATGGGTACAAAGTGTGAAGGGTTTTGTCTCTTTATTTTAACATTAATCAGAATGCATTCGCTGCAGAAGCAGCACTAAATGACCAAGAGGACAGGATGATCTGGCCAGTAGATGTCAGCCAGTCTGTCCTCTGCCATCCCAGTGCTTACACAATAGAGTAGCCACAGTGGCAAAGATGGAGGTTACGCATGCCCAACAACATTGGCTTCCTCTCACCAAGACTAATGTAGAGATGGCTGTGGCTGAATGTCTAATCTTCTAGCAACAAAAACCACACCAAGTCCCCAGTATGGCACCATCCCTTGAGGATATCAAGACATGTGGTGTCAAAATGATTACATTCAACCCCTTCCCTCTAAAAAGGTCAGTGGTTCATTATAACAGAGATTGCCACATATGCCACATACGAATTTTTCCTTCACTGCCTGCAAGGACTCAGTCAGCACCACTACCTGAGATCATGATGTATCTGATCTACCAACAAAGAATCTCTCCTAATGTCACCTCAGACCAAGAGATTCACTTTATGACAACTGTGATGCAGCAGTGAACACATGGCAATGAAATTCATTGGCCCTACAACATTGTGCACCATTCAGAGGCTGCTGGTGTAATAGAGTGATAGAATGGCATTTTAGGGCCGGTTGCGGTAGCTCACGCCTGTCATCAATCCTCGCACTTTGGGAGGCCGAGGCGGGTGGATCATGTGAGGTCAGGAGTTCGAGACCAGCCTGGTCAACATGGTGAAACCCTGTCTCCATTAAAAATATAAAAATTAGCCGGGCATGGTGGTGGGTGTCTGTAATTCCAGCTATTCAGGAGGTTGAGGCAGGAGAATCGCTTGAACCCAGGAGGTAGACGTTGCAGTGAGCCGAGATCGTGTCATTGCACTCCAGCCTGGGCTACAAGAGCAAAACTCTGTCTCAAAAAAATAAATAAATACATAAATAAATAATTTTTTTTAAAAAGGCACTTTAAAGGCACAGACAAAGCACCAGCTTTGAAACTATCCCTGTGAGGATAGGGCACTATCCTTGAAGATGCAGTATTTGCAGACAGTCCCTGACTTATGATGGCTCCACTTAGAATTTTTTGACTTTATAATAGTGCAAAAGTGATACACATTCAGTAGAAACTACACTTCTACACTTTGAATATTGAATCTTGATCTTTTCCTGGGGAAGTGATATGTAATATGATACTCTCTTGTGATGTTGGTCAGGGGCAGCAAGCTGAGCTCCCACTCAGCCGGGCAATCACAAGGGTAAACAACCAATCCTCTACAGTGTACAACGTTGCCAGATGAGTTTGCACAACTGTAAGCTAATATAAGTGTTCTGAGCATGTTTAAGATAGGCTAGGCTAAGCGATAATGTTCACTAGGTTAGGTGTATTTAATGCATTTTTGACTAACAAAGTTGAGGAGCATCTGTACTCTAAACCAGGGATCAGCAAATTATGGACAA